GGGATTGTGAACCGATCTTGATACACAGGTCCTTGCCGTTACCTTCGTCGCGAGCGTGACCTCGGACAATCGTCCAGTCATCAGGGATGACATCCACATTTAGACATTTTATAAGTGCCACACTGTCGTATGGGATGGCACCTCTGAGAGTGGAACAACTTCCAGTCTTGCGTTGGCCCAAAGTTCATCTTGGTTGCGGACGCAGTTTTTTAGTAACCCTAGCGACTCCTTGTTACCACATCCAACAACTTTGACTCCCTTCTGCCACTTGGCTCCATCAAACATACCAATGTTATTGTTTTTGGTACACTGGATTTCGCCAAGTAGTGCCCTCATGATCATGATTTGTCCGATGGAATCTTTCCTTCCGGTGACTCCGGTCTATGATTGCTACCTGGAGCTCTGGTGCTGAGCATAAGGTTGATGAAGTTTTCACCCGCTTCTGCGCAGGCTGTGCCCTCTTGTCGCCAGACAGTTGTCTCTTCGGAGTGCGTGCAACCGTTCCCTTACCACCGGAGGCTATAGCAGCTGCCGATGTCGAGGCCGTCCAGCCGTGGGAACACTGGCCTCGTGGTCTTCGGCACCTTGGGCGTCAGTGACTGCGACGACTTGTTATTTCCAACAGCGGACAGGGGAGAAGCTTTCTTCGTCGACAGACTGCCCCCTAGAGGGGGGTTTGGTTACAGCGTCTCTTTTTTCGGAGTTGGTGGCTTTTCCAGAGACAGCGGCCTCATTTTCGGAAGCATTCGAGGCTTTCTCCTCACGGAGTCGCTCATTCTTCCGTACAATGTAGGCATGCTTCTTTTGAAGAGCCTTGTCCCTTGGCGTTAGAGTGGCGGGGTCGCACTATGCATTTTATACCTACTGCCAGGTGAAGATTGTCCTGTCGCCCAATTTGGGTCAGACGCCGATCAGGGAGCCGTCCCACTGGGGAACAGACGCTTCAGGATTTGTCGGTGCGTTTTCAAACGCGAAGATTGGTGTCCCTTACGTATTGATCCACACGTCATCAAGTTCTTAACGTCCTGAGCGTTCGTCGATGCACGTCACGTACAGTCCGGGTCCAGTCCACACTACGGGAGCTCAGCCTTTAGCGAGGATATACCGCCTCGCATCGGTAGACAGAGCCTCGTTAGCGATAACAGGGACCACCAAGCCTTGATGGACAGTGGGTGAGGCTGTCGTTTGGGAAGGATAGGTTATAGATTCACTTCACTCCCCCATTAGACCCCAATATAAAATACATGGAAAACTTTGGGCGCTTTGAGCGATCTCTATATATTTTTTTGATTTCAAATTAAAAAAATAAGGGTATACTTTTTTCAGTATAAAACAATCCTAGGTGGTGAGAGCATAAAAATTCCGACTTTACCTTTTCACATGCATTTTTGGACCACCCTAATACATATCACATACATATACTGGCATAGATATTTATACACAATTAATGATAGGTACATAAATTTTTTATATTGAAACTAGATATTTATATAGTATGTTATTATTATTATTCGGTTCAAAAAAGCCCCATCTCAAACGAAAATACATTGAAAATGTGCTGAGATAAAGCGTTTTTGAATCGTCAGCTGAGATAGGGTATTTTTGGTTCTAGTTTTGAGATAGGGCGTTTTTCAATAAAATTCTAAAATAGGGCGTTTTTCAGCCAAATTTTTAAATAGGATGTTGTTGAAAAGTTTTCTGATATCGGGCGTTCTCGAACTCTCTGCCCAGATAGGTCGATCTTCCTCTAAGTCATCGATATACAGTGTCATTTTTTGTTATATGGAAGACGAATAAACACAATGTTGTTACAAGAAGCTCTTTTCTTGTTAGCAAAAGACTACAGTAGCGGGCGGTGTGTAAACCTTGATAAGCGAACAGATTTACCGAATGCCCAAAACGCAACGTATGTGTCCAATTTGATGACCAGCAAATATCAAACGATGTGCTTCTCTCGAACGAATGATTAGCAATAGTTTATTAGAACACATATTAAATTGTACATGCTGATAACTTGGTAAACGAAAACAAGTGAGAGTAGGAATGAGTGTAATTACATATGTATGTTAGACAGTGTGTGTGTATGTGCAACTATAGAGTTAATGCATGTTAGGTTTACAGCGTGAGTGGAAATTATAGTGCTAACACTTAAAGCTAATATTTTATCTGCTGCTTGAGCCGGCATCATTAGGGTGATCCAACATCCCGGGCCCATTGAAAGAAATTTCTTTCAAGAGACAGGCAGAATAGCAAGTTTGTGTATAGGTCGACAGCAAGGTCCATTAGTAGTGCGAAGATGTGCTACGCGAACATGACCGTCACGTCCAAGTACGGTGGATTCGACGCGACCAAGCCTCCAACGTTGTGGTGGTAGATTGTCGTCGTGGATGACAACTAGGGTTCCATTTTTTAAGTTGGGTGAAGGTGACGTCCATTTGACACGAGCGCGTAATTCGTTTATATATTCTGCAAACCAGCGGCGCCAAAATCGTTGTTTAATCGAAGTGATCGTGTCATATCGATCCAAGTTGGAGATGCTCCTGTGGTCTAGTGATCGCTCAGGCAACGCACGTAGGGAGTCGCCAACTAAGAAATGTCCAGCAGTGAGTGCGCCAAAGTCATTGGGGTCTGAGGACAACGGTGATAGTGGGCGCGAGTTGAGTACGGCCTCGATTTCCACAGCGACAGTGCTCAGCTCTTCATTTGTTAGTCTGGTGTTTGCTAAGGTCCGATTTAATAGTCCCTTTGCCCTCTTAACCGCTGCTTCCCAAAGGCCGCCAAAGTGGGGTGCCCTGGAAGGAATAAAATTAAAGTTAATGAAATCAGAAGCACAGAATTTGTAAATTTCTTCTTGCGTGTCTTTTCTAAACAGAAATTGTTTGAGTTCTTTCAGGTGGTTAGAGGCGCCAACAAAATTTGTAGCATTGTCACAATATATTTCGCATAGCATTTTACGACGACCGCCCATACGCTTTAAAGCATTTAGAAATGCCTTTGTTGACAAGTCCGAAACTACCTCTATATGGACTACTTTAGTCAGCAGGCAAACGAATACTGCTAAATACGACTTGTTAGGGGCCTTTCCTCGAACTCGTAGATATGTACTTATGGGACCACAAAAGTCGACTCCACAACGTTCGAAAGGTCGTGCTGGTGTGAGGCGTGCAGCTGGCAGAGGCCCCATGACCTGTTCCAGTAGCTTTGGTCTATAGCGGACGCAATGCACACAAGAACGAACAATGCGACGAGCTAAGTCCCTAGCGCTGACGATCCAAAATTCAAGGCGAATCAATGCTACTAATGCTTTAGGGCCGGCATAGTAATTATGTAGGAGAAGGTGTCAAACGTATTTGAACACAAATTGTGAGTTGCTGTGCAGCAGGATCGGATGTTTTTGGCATTCTGGCAAGTCGGCGTAATCCAAGCGGCCACCAACTTTAATAAGCTCAAATCCTGAAGAGTTATCTAGAAATGGTGTTAGAAATTTTAAATTATTGTTTAATGGCTGATTCCTTTGAAGACGGAGCCGATCGTCGGAGAAATGTTGCGTTTGAATATTCCAGATTATGCAGTGTAATTGTGTCGCATTTCTTGAGGCGACGGCGACGAACTAGTAGATGACGGCATTTTTCTGCATTTGTCACAGAATCGACACACCCAAGCAACCAGACGCAAGCAATGGCGGTATGAGCTGATACCATCAATAATTTCTAGTAAATAGTTCGTCTCCTTGACTGCAGCAAACAAGGTTTTGCGTTTCTCGGCGTTGACTATGTCCATATCAATTTCAATCTTACCTTTGCTTTGAGGCCATTTCGACATTTCTTCACGTAAAAATGAAGGGCCTGAAAACAAGGTCAATGATTTGAGTTCGGAGACAGCGCATCCTCGAGATACAAGATCAGCGGGATTTTCCTTGGTTGGCACAAATTTCCAACGTCCTTATGAAGTCAACTCTTGTATGTTGGATATTCTATTGCCTACGAACGTCGATAAAGTGGCTGAATGCTGTTGCAACCAGTGTAGTACTAGTTGGGTGTCAGTCCAAAAGTAAGTGGAAGTGGGTCGATTGATGAAAATGTCTTTTGTTTTTGCATATATAGAGCGAGAAGGTGCGCGCCGCACAGTTCAAGCTAAGGGAGCGATTGCTTCTTTACTGGCGCGAATCTGGACTTTGATGTAAGCAAGTGAACAGCAACATGTCCACCCAAATCTTCCGTTCTCACATACAACGCGCAGCCGTATGCGCGAATTGATGCGTCACAAAACCCATGAATTTGAATGTTGCGAGCATTTGGTTGCAGACAGTAGCGAGGCGCAGTAAGAGACGAGATCGAATTGAATGATTCTAAACAGTTGTTCCACGCATTATACAGATTCTGAGGCACGGACTCATCCCAGTTGAGCTTTAGCAACTATAATTCTTGAAGAATTATCTTCGCTGTAATAACGAGTGGTGACAATAATCCGAGGGGATCAAACAGGGATGGCGCGACAGAGAGGATTGTTCGCTTTGTTACGGAAGTGTAAACTTGCTTGGGTTTGAATGTGAACAAGAGAACGTCACGTCGTTGATGCCAAGTTACCCCAAGCGCGCTAGTTACGGAATCATCGGTGATGCTAAGCTCCTTAGTTGTCCGACTTTCATGAAATCTGGGTGATTTGAGTGCCATTTTGACAGTCCTCGACGAAGAACTTCAGTTACCTCCGTTTTTAGGGTCTGCAACGTCTCGATTTCGTCAGCTCACATAGCATATCGTCGACATAAAATGACGACTTTATAGCCGAAGCACCGGTTGGAATCTCATCCATGTACTGGTCCGCCAGAATATGGAGACTGCGGACCGCAAGGTATTGCGCTGATGCTGTTCCATACGTAACGGTGTTAAGCTGGTAAGTGAGGAGATCTAGATCTGGAGAGGCTCGCCAAAGGATATATTGAAATTTGCAATGATTTGTATTTACGAATACTTGCCTGTACATCTTGGTGATATCCGCGGTTATGGTATATCGATATAACCGGAACCGCAACAGTAGAATTTACAGCTCCTCTTGATTGTAGGCCCCACTAACAGCAGATCGTTCAGTGATGTTTGTGTTGTATTGCGACATGAGGCGTCAAACACCACTCGTAGTTTGGTTGATTCGCTATTGGGCTTAAGCACGTAGTGATGGGGGATGTAGTAGTGTGATTCTTCCAATTTAGGTGCTGCAACGGCAGACATGTGACCAAGACCTTCGTATTCTTCAATGAACGAAATGTATTGTTGTCGAATGTCAGGTGAATTAAGCAGTCGTCTTTCAATTGCGATAAATCGGCGGCGAGCGATGTCAAGCGACTTTCCTAGGCGATTTGGACTGTCTTTGAAAGGTAGGTTTACGACTATGCGTCCTGTAGCGTCCTGATGAGTAGTAGCTAAGAAGTAGTTTTCGCATATACGATGTCCAGGCTGAATCGGTTTGACTGTTGTGTCGACTGCTTCAAGCTCCCATAACAGCTGTAGATTTTCATCGATAGAGCTTTCGTTTGACAGCAGATAAGACGCAGATACCGCCTGACGTTGACGTTGATATCTGCCTGAAACGACCCAACCCAACAAAGTTTTTTGAAGCGTAGGTAAGTTAGAGCCCAGTCGTATTTGACCAACAGAAAGTGCGTCGAAGAAGGCCTCTGTGCCAAGCAACAAATCGATGCGCCGCGGTTTAAAGAACAGTTCGTCTGCTAATGTGGTATTGGCTGGCAGATTCCAAGTTGAAGTGTCAATTTCACTGTCAGGTTGATATGCGATTTGCGAAGTAATTCCAAATTGCAATGAAAGTTCGAACGATGAAGTGCGTGATTTGATGGTAGTTGTTGTGCGTGCCTTGAGATTGGTGAGTGATTCACCAATACTCCGAATGCCGACATAATGCCTTTCTCTGCTAAGCCGAAGTTTTTGAGCGAAATCATCGGTGATGAAGTTTACTTGGGAGCATGAATCGAGTAAGGCTCTACCAAGTTTGTACGCGCCTGTCGAGTCTTTGACGAGCACCATAGCCGTTGCCAGAATTACGTTACCACCCTCCGATAAATCCATGTGCGAATGCGTTGCTGCTTGCAATGAGCGTGCCTCGTTGTACGTTTGCTGTTTACTAAACGATTCGGATGATTGTGATGATGCATTATTCCACGGAGCTCGAGCAGAATACGAAGGTTGTGATGAGGTAGTAGATGATGATGCTGTCGATGGTGACTGAGACGCGTTGTCGTGATGCAGCATCGTGTGATGGGCACGATTGCATGTGCGACAACGATTCTTTGACGGACACTGGGCGATTCTATGTCCGTTGCTAAGACAGTTGATACACAGATCGTACCGCTTTGCGGCGTCGAACCGTTGAGTGGTATTCAGCTCCTTGAATTGCGAGCAACTACTGATTTTATGATTGGAACCAGAACAGAGAACGCAGCAAGGTTTAGTAATGGCGAACGATGACTTCTGACTGTGGGCCCCTGACTGATTTTGCTTGTTTGAGTCAGATTTGCGCTGCAAAGACGATTCAGATGAGTATAGAAATTGGCAGTGACGTTCCAAGACCTGAGTGCACTGAGACCAGGTTGGAAGCAATGCCTTCTAAAAATATTAAGGTAGGATTATCGAAGCGTTCTTTAAGCATATCTAAAGCCTTCGGATAATTCTCGCTTGTGACCTGAAAGGCTTTGACGGTTTCTAGTGCTGCCCCTTTCAAGCAAGATAACAGATAATTGAATCTTTCGATATTTGAGAGTCTAGGCTCACGTGCAATTATTTGGGTAAAAGACGTTATGAAATTTTTGTATTCAGCGTAATTTCCACTAAAACTAGGTAGCGACAACCTTGGGAGATGTGAGACGGTGGAATCAGACGCTGATGATGCCGGCTCTGTATAATTTACAGTACTGTTCACATCCTCGCCAAGTTGTGCTTGAAATCTTTGTTTAACTGCGACGTAGCTATCTTCCAAATCCGCGCGACCATTATCTGTTGGATCCAAATCCTCTATTTCAGCTTGTACAGATAACGCTTGTTTAAAATAAGATTCTAAAATTCCTAAACGACATTGTAGCTCGACATGCCATGGTTTGTCCTCAGCATCTTTAATGACATCAACAATTGATCTGATGCGTGATATGTTTCGTTTTATGTTTGCACGCTTGCGTTTACACTCTTCCAGCGACATGTCTGGCTAACACGATCTGCGATATCAATTGTGTGTTGGGTTAACAAGTAGGAAAAATACCTGACGACGATCAAACGGTGATGTTAACCGCGACTGCGAAGCAAATCAACAAAAAATAAGCAGCACAAATGCAGTGTGCCAAACCAGCAAGAGTAGAACGATGTGATAAGCAGCGACAATTCGTGTGCGCAGCGTGAGCAAAAACACAAACGCAGGAATGATGTATACAGAGCCGGTAGGTATAAGCAGCGCAGCGTCAGCTTATATCAACACAGCGACTTCAAAACGCAGGCAGCGAATGTGGCGAAGGCGTAAAAAATGCAATAGAAAAACTAGGTTTATCATACATACATACGCTTTCCAATGAGCGGTGATTTTGAAGGACTGCAGCGATGCGATGGAGAACTGTTTGTACCAAAGAGAACGGGATCCACGGTGGGAAATTCACAACAAGTTAGCGGTGACGAAAAAACTGCAACAATGGTACTGCGATGTGTGCACGAACCGTTTGCCACTAGATGAATGTTGCCTTTTGGTTGATAGCAAACTTGCATGTCATTTCGATATGCCGGTTAATTTATTCGAAATAAGATTTTACGTATATTAACTTATACGTTTTGTTACACACTGCCCCACGTTGGGCGCCAAAAATGTTGTTACAAGAAGCTCTTTTCTTGTTAGCAAAATACTACAGTAGCGGGCGGTGTGTAAACCTTGATAAGCGAACAGATTTACCGAATGCCCAAAACGCAACGTATGTGTCCAATTTGATGACCAGCAAATATCAAACGATGTGCTTCTCTCGAACGAATGATTAGCAATAGTTTATTAGAACACATATTAAACTGTCCATGCTGATAACTTGGTAAACGAAAACAAGTGAGAGTAGGAATGAGTGTAATTACCAGGGAACGGATTTTATGGAAATTGCCTTTTTTTCTGCTAAAGAGATAGAATATATTCGATTAAGAAAGTCCACGATTTAGCTTTCCCTGATTCCATATATACACATTTGATGTTACCTTTTTTTGCCTTTTTTAAAATATTTGCCTATTTTTTGCCTTTTTTAAGATATTTGCCTTTTTTGCCTTTTATACCTTTAAAAAAGTGATTATAGCATTTACAATTTTTTTTTTAAAGATTAAAAAATATACACATGCCCATGCGGCTTATAGAAGCCGTTTTCTCAGCTAACGTAGGCTTGGAGACAATAAAGGGTGTGGATAAAATTATAAAGGGCGAGCAAAACGCCCTTATTTCTAATAATATGAACGTTTCAAACGTTCCATATTTAAATTGGGCTCCACTTGTATCAACTTACGTCGAGCGCACATTTAGTACATGCAAGGCTTTTCTTCGCGAAAATCGAATGAAAATGCTGCCAGAAAACTTCAAAAGGCATCTTGTGGTTCAATGTTACTACAACTATACAGATTAAAGTTTTATGAGTTAGAAAAAAAAGGATAAAATAGTCAGAGATTCAAAGTACACATTTTGCATATAATGAAACTAGTTCATAGTTTTTCTCTTTTTACTTGTAATATAAACATTTCTAAAATAAATGTATTTTTTGATTGTTCTTCGTATTTTGTGTCTTTTTTCAGTGCCTTATTTTGCTTTTTTTGCAATACCTAGTGCCTTTTCCTGCCTTTTCGGTATTTTATTTTGCCTTTTTTGCAATACCTAGTGCCGTTTCCTGCGTTTTTCGCTATTTTATTTTGCCTTTTCCAGCCTATTTCGTTATTTTATTTTGCCTTTTTTATAGGTTTTTAGGTCCTAAAAATCCGTTCCCTGGTAATTATATATGTATGTATGTGAGACAGTGTGTGTGTATGTGCAAATATAGAGTTAATGCATGTTACGTTTACAGCGTCAGTGGAAATTATAGTGCTAACACTTAAAGCTAATATTTTATCTGCTGCTTGAGCCGGCATCATTAGGGTGATCCAACACACAATTTGTTTTTATATGGATTCTAAAAAATCAACGGCAATTTTTATCCACTTCAAACTTGCATATAGTTGGACTAAAATTGAAGGGGCTTTAAAACTGTGTGCTCAAAAAAAATCTAACACTTCTGAGAAAAAATTTTGATTTTTGGGTGAAAATTTATTGTATTTTTTGTAATTTTCTGCGAAGTTTTAAAATTGGGTTTATATTGGGTTTATATGGGTTAGAAATTGAACTGTATTTTTATTGCAAATTCCTAGAAATAAATAAGTAAACATGAGAAATAATATCACTTTGAAATGGGGGTGCTATGATATTACCGATGCTCTATGTATATAATAAATTTTGTATAACTAAAAATCCGAGTGGATTTATTAAAATGAACACAACGTGTTAATTATAAATTCTGAAATATATCGTTAATTTCAAAAACAAATAAATAAAACATTAAAAAGTAGTCAATACGCGCTGAATGATACGAATTTGGATATACGTATACTTGGGTAATGTATAATTCCTTATATGATTTCTCAAACAATCCCTTATATATAGGGCAGCCATAATCTTTTACGCTTAATTCCGGACGCCAGCCAGACTATCCAAGCATGACCTAACAGAGAGATTTACCAGAGATTTCAAGCAAAGTTTCCATGAGTTTTTTAGGTATCCGAAGCTCTTGTATATGTTACCTTTTATCCCTTTCTTATTATTTTGTAAGAACGATAAGTGAAAACAATATTGAAATTATTTTCATAAATGCATTTATACCAAAACCAATCATACATACGCATTGTTGATTAATTTAAAATTAAAGTAAAAACAATGAACTTATATGTATTGCATTTTTCGCATATCGTTGGAAGGTACTCAAAACAGGAACTTAAAAAAAAAAATATTAAGATCAATTATCAAAAATATGTGTTTATTTTTCATATTAATCATTGGTAAGGGACTTTTTCAAAAGAACAATCATAAAATGACGAACAACTTTCATTACAATTCAGTTTAATCTGTAACAATGCACCTACGACTAATACACGCAGAGGATTTTTATCTTGGGACCACAAATGTTTCATAAGAGAAAATGTCCTTTCTACTGACGCAGTTGTGCCTGGAATACACAAAGCAAATTCAACTAGCATTAGTATACTTTTTAAATCTACACTGGTCGATTGTGCCATGTTTTTAATTGCATTCGACCTTTCTTCCATTCTTAATTTCTGCCACTTTCCGCGCGTTTTTTCTTTACTTACTATAGTGTTTACACAACCAATCTCGTCAAAAATAGTATCTTCATCGAACTTTAGACTAGTATAACATCCTATTTCAGTAATAGTTTCTTCAACAGTTTTCCAAGATATTTCGTTTTCAATGCTAATCCAAGTAAGATTTCCAAAAAAACTTAAATTTTGACCCCAAATCTCAAGACTGTTTACGGCCTTTTCATAGAACTGTACTACTCTCTCCTTAAACAAAACATTTGGATATTTTTTAACATATGCAATCCAACATTGCTTAAGAGAAAATGGAATGAATATCTCCTGTTTACGAATCTTAATTTTTTGCAATGCGTTTTCATATATAAATGCTACTTCTACTGCATTATAGTTTCGCCTTCTACTTTAGTGATATCTTCTTGAAAAATTCCTAAACTAGCATGCAAAACCAAAGTGTAAAATTCATTCATAGGGTCTCCGAAGTATGATTTCAAATCTGAGGGCAGTTGTCTGTATTTAAAAAATATTCTTTAAGAACATCATATTATTGAAATATTCGCCCAATAGCAGATTGCAAACACACACACAGTGTAAATGTAAAAAAATTATAAATTTTAACAGCAATTAGTTCAATATCAACGGGAAAACAATCTGCTGCAGTTTGCGCAGCATTATGCAAAACGTGAGCAGAGCATCCTACTCTAATAATGGAGTGACCATCTGATTGTAACTTCTAAATACATTGTTTTGCCCTTGCCTATTAACGCCGCCAAAATTGGTATTTGCATTGTCAGCCGAAAACGCGGCTACCTTGCTTTTCAGATTATATTTTTCTAATGCTAATCAGTTTAGTTTTGATTTCATCTTTGTAGTGATAATAGGTGTGTACTCGTGTTCTCCAGCAGCAAAAGTTCTGAGAATTAATCAGCATTCGCTCTCAAAGAGACGAAATATCAACAGAAGTACGAGAACGCTAATTTTTATTTTTTTTATTTTATTTTTTTACTTCAGTCTACAGAAAATAATCTTACAGACCAATTCGCTTAGCTAAATATGGTAAACAGATCAAGCTTGAATTTTACAATATTAACGTTGAAATTAAGGACGTTACAATAATTGTTACAAAATCGCGCACATCGTGCTATAGGCTCATTACATGCATAATTTGTCGTATTATTTGAGAGAACAAATGGACGATTATTCCTTAGATCATAGAGTGAAGTATGACTCTGAAATTTTTTTGATAACTCTTTACAATCAATATTACCATTAATGATGTTATAGACACAAAAAAAAAAGGATTGTAAACCAAGTAACTTACGTCGACTAATATAAGGAGCTGAATAATTTGGCCAGTCCATTTTAAACAAAGCTATTTTTGTAAAAATTTGTTGTACACTTTCAATTTTCTTCGAATGAACCCCATAGTATGGGTTGCATATTAATGAGCAGTACTCAATGCGGGATCTTACTAGGGCCACATAAAGAGATTTTAAAGTTTGATGGTCCTTAAAATCTTTAGAGTTTCTTCTAATGAAACCGACCATTGCGAATGCTTTGGATACAACATAATCAATATGTTTGGTAAATGAAAGTTTAGTGTCAAAGATAACACCAAGATCTTTAATTTCATGACTTCGACTTAAAATGCAGTTGTTTAATTTATAGTTAAAATATAAGAAATTTGGTTTCCTTGTGAACGTCACAATAAAAAATTTATTTACGTTTAGAAATAAGTGGTTTAATGAGCACTAATTTCGGAAGGCATCAAGATCCGACTGCAAGTTTTTGCTATCTGACAAGCTATGTACCTCTTGGAGGAGTTTCACATCG